TTAGTGACAACACACACGTCTTATACTGAGCACTCTTCACCGACTGACAAGGGTGTGCTTAGGACACCATCAACCTGAAGCTTCGTGCTACTGGTGCTGGTGAGAGTTTGCGTGCTCTTCATCACCGTGTAGCATTCGAGTGTATTAAGCAACGATGACGGTATGACCGTTACCTTGGCCCCTGTGTCATTCTTCATCAACACCGGTGTTCCATTCAGGGATACGGTGGCCATCCATGGCCCATCACCGTCGACCGAACCCAAAAAGTACTCTTCGGGTTCACTGGAGACAGAGGCCATCTCCTGCTGTGTCGGCCTTGGCTTCTTGGACTGACATACTCTAGCGAAATGACCCTCCTTTCCACAGGAGCGACAAGTGGAGTTTCTCGATGGGCGTTGTGAACGATCTTTCTCTGTACTTCCACAAAACAGAAACTTGTCTGGACTCCTCCTGGAGCTCTAATACTTAGACCAGAGACCATAGCAAAAGAAAGTACTCGTAGAGATGGAGAGGAAGACTTGGATGTAGAGCCTTAGGGTTACCAGATGGAAGATGAGAGTCAGAAAGAAATACCGGGTGTCCTTTAGTCAATGCGGTTCAGATGATGATGAATTGTGTTTCACCGCTTTATGGCGCACACGTAGATTGTGTGAATTCAAAGTATTGGTAGCTGTAATCATTAGTAAGCACAACCCCAACCTTTCCATCCAGAAAGAAATTGTCACTTAACTTAAACTATTCACGTAGCTTTCAGACACACACACACACACATACACACACACACACACACACACACACACACACATACACACACACACACACACACACACACACATATGCATGCACGCACCCACGTACACACACACATGCACGCGTACACACATAACTACATTACATGAATACACACGGCACATACGCACACACGCGCACACACACACACACACCTTCCTTCCTTCCTCCTTCCTTCTTCCACTGCCATGACTGGCTACGTGGCCCCATATGGGGCAGACCAGGAGACGTGTTGTACACAGGGCGGGGAACGCCAGACTCAGCGCGTGCGGGCTGCGCGAACAGCGTTACATTTGTGCCTCGCAATATCCTGTGGCCGACGAAAACTGCGCGCACAAGTGCCACAGATGAGGGGCTTCGCCACAGGCTCCATCCGGGACTGGACAATAGCGTCGACAGCGTCACGGCAAGTGGCCCGCTATCCCTGTCGACCTTGGACGATGTCACCAAGATGCTCCAGAGGAACGCCAACAGCCATCAAATCGCACTTTGCGGAGTCCTTCCAGCGCTTATGGGGTCCATGCGGTGGACGTTTGGACGGTAACGAGCCGTACAGCAGCTGACGAGGGATTCGATCCTGCATGTGGGACACGTGGCCAAGCCATCGAAGTCGGCAGACTTTGACTTTATCCGCAATCTCCTTCATATCGCCCCACATCTTGCACACCTGGAGAGAGGAGATGTGCTCCTCTATCTGCCAGCCACGATTGACCTTCAGGATGGAACGCACGCACTGCAGATGAAAGGATTCCAGGCGACGGACATTACGCTGCCTAACGGTCCAACTCTCAGAGCCATAAAGAAGGACGGCCAGGACAGTCACTCCATAGACAACGCCCGTCATGGCCATGTTAATAAAGCACACACACACACACACGCACACACACACACATGTACCCGTACACACACACACATACATACATACACACATGAACACATGCATACACCTTGAACCTTGAACCTTGAACCTTGAACGCCCGTTGCCGTAGCAATGATAGCGATGGCTTCCCCACACTGAGGTTCTAGACCCGAAATCTGCAGTATGGCGCATGCCGCTTGAGGTCACCAGGACGGCGGAACACTCTGTCACAGCGGTAGTTGGGGCACGGGATGTCTGGGGCTTCATTCTCGACCCTCTGTCGACAATACTGAAACCAGACGGATCTCTCTGAGCTGTGTCATACCAGCCCGCTTCAGACAAACCGATGACAGTAAAGTCCGAGGGCACAACATCCCGCCAGCGCATCTTGGGACCATGTTGCGGGCGTTTGCAGGGCAGTTCGCCGGCCAGCATCTACTTGGGCAGCCGGGTCTCCTTCATCCGTGCAACGTGACCAAGCCACCGCAAGCGGTGCTTCCTGATCACATCAACCATGTCGACGTCCACCCCTGTCAGCTCGCTCAGCGATGCCGAGGACAATCTCTCCTCCCATTGCTCACAACGAGAGATACCGAGAATTGTGCGAATACACTGATGGTGAAAGGTGTTGAGTCGACAATATGACCCGCTTTGATGGGCCATGTCTCCGCACCGTAGAGAAGAGCAGGAAGGACAATAGCACGATACACCAGCCGCTTGGTGTAGATCGAGAGATGTACGCACTGAAATATCGGAGACCTGAGCACGCCGAACAGGCGGGACGCCTGCGCCAAACGAGCAGCGAAGTCCGCATCCACCGTTCTCACAGCAGAGAGCACGCTGCCAAGGTACCGGAACCCGTCCACCATGTCAATCCTGCTGTCACCACCGAGTTGAACGGGATCAACTGCTGTTGGTTGACCCACAGCCATGCCCTTCGTCTTTCTAATGCTGACGGTCAGTCCCATACGCACACACATAAATACACAGCCCCCCCCCTTCCCCCCCCCCCCCCCACACACACACACCACACGTGCGCGCGCACACACACACACACACACACACACACAAACACACACACAAACACACACACACACAAACAAACACACACACACACACACACACATGCACACACTCAGACTCAGACTCAGCCATGCCCGTCGCGGTAGCGATGATAGCGAACAGGTATGTTAGACATAGCAACTTGTGCTGGGATTGCACCATTCAAAAGCTTGCAAGGCTGATGAATACACACACGCACGCACGCACGCACACACATACACGCACACATATACGCGACGTACAACCTACACTCTACACTCTCTTGCACTGTTATTTACCTCAAGCGTAGTGATTATTTACCCTCTTATTTTGGTTTTCACTCCACGTACGCGTGTCATTAGTTCACACTAACTTGACATCTTTGCACTTTCCCCTGTTCCTTGACACATTTATATAATTATTAGTTGCATTTATGGCTAGTTATCATTGTTGAGACGTATTTCCCTGATGAAGTCCTCATGAAAACTGGTTAAGAAAATCTAGAACTCCAAAACGAGAGAGCTTAGAAGCTCAGGGCCCTACGCTATGCTTTTTTGCCTAGCTCATCATGCATGTTATTAGAACTGATGGAATTGGTTTTTTCCATTGATTGGCTACATCAAACTTTCTCTTTGCACTCGAGGGTAATACGACACCGTCTACTACCTTGATTTACCTAGACAAAAAAGCATAGGGAAGTTATAAATTTTTCATTTCTCCTATTCTTTTTTAAGACATAACCTGGTATTCGAACCCACACTATCGCCCTGCATGCATTCCCCCGATACATTTCGCTTACATACTCATTCTTCCAAGTTGCTTCATGTTATGATCTTGCATTTGAACGCCCTATTTGAATATTGTGGCCAGCTGTCTTTGATGGTCCGGTGCGGGACAGGTACAGGATAGCGCCAGGCATCTTTTCCGTTTGCCGTTCTTTAGCCACAGCTCTCGCCTTCATCTCTGGTGCGGGTGGAATCTACTGACTTTGTATATGCGTTATAATAGACCAATCCCTTTGTCTGGGTTCGTGAAAAGGGCCACGCGTGCAAGTCAGCTCGTGTGAAGTGCATGGTTTTGTATTTAGTTGGTATGTGGCAGCTTATGAGACAAAGAGATTTTTGCTCCCCGAGCTTGTGTATGTAAATAGTTTTTTACGTCGAGTATGACAGCTACAATGCCCAACCATACCACAACGAACTGATCGGCTACATCATTGCGTTGCAAAAACATTCTGTCTGTTCGAATTACATGCATGATGAGCTAGCCAAAAAAAGCATAGCATAGGGCCCTGTGCGAAAGAAATAGCCTTTCTCTTTGCATTCGAGAGTAATACGACACCGTCTAACACCTTGATGACCTAGGCAAAACATGGATAGGGATGTTATGAATTGTTCATTTCTCCTTTTTTTCCCCAAGACATAACCTAGGATTAGAACCCGCACTATCGCCCTCCATGCATTCCCCGATACACTTCGCATACATACTCATTTTTCCAAGTTGCTTCACGTTCTGATCTTGCATTTGAAAGCCCTATTTGAATATTGTGGCCGGCTGTCTTTCGTGGTACGGTACGTACGGGACAGGTACGGGATAGCGCCAGGCATGCCGATGGCACAAACAAACAAACAAACTGAGGCTTCCTGCAGCTTCATCTGTGAAAAGAATTCGGGACTGGTTCGGATGTGATGTGCAGCGCTATGGGAATGGGTGTGTCCACCCGAATTCTTTTTTAGAATATCAGGCTGAAACAACAGCAACCTCACCAATCATTTGCTCCAAAAGTACCTGTGACTATTGGTGACTCTCCTACCCGGCACTGATACCTGCATAAAGCACCTCTCATATACTGACATCGTAGTAATTCTGCAACTTCTAGCACTTCTGACACCATGTAGTATTCTGGTTCTTTAGGAATTAGGATACTATTGTATTGTTGATTCACAGGCAATATGAAGGAGAAACCTTTTTTAAATGTGGCATCAGCAGACCCCAGCTGTAAGAGGTACTGCGCAGGCGCGTACATGTTGCGGTACACGTAACTTGTGTACACGTTATGTAAGGGTTACACGTGCTCAAGAGAAACGCATAATACATAGCATGACACGACAAGTACCACAGCTGTCACTATTGTGCTAACTTTTACACGTTATGACAAATCAGAATCATGCTTATAATTCTTAGAGCTGGGTAACTACAGATAACATGTAAAACTTTAGTCACAGTAGGTTATACATCATAATTGTGTAAGATACAGACTGTAGATAGATAACACATGCGAATGTCTGGTTTTGTCTTTACCTGCACACAGTACGGTTCCCTTCCTGTTCATCGCGCTGCTTACAACGGACATCTGGACGTGGTCAAGTATGTAGTAGATCTCCAACCCGACACGGTCTCCATAAAGAACAAAGTGAGTCGAGCAGTCTCTGTCACTGTATTGGTCCTGATTACACACTCCAAGAGTGTGCACATTTGGCAAATGACTGACTACATGGTACATTCCCTATATCATGCAGGTCACTTTTCCATTGCAGAATTATTATGTAAGTGTTTGTGTTTGTGTTTCGAAGACACTGTCATTCATAGCGAGGCGCTACTGTGTTGCATTAGATTTTCTGGTAGTAGCTAGGAGGTACATTTCCAGCTGATCAATCAGAGTAGTCTATATTAGGATCCCTTGACTGACAGTAGATTGTACATCATACTGGTATGTAAGATACAGACTGCAGGTAGCTAATACATATATTGAGGTATGATCTTGTCTTTGCCTGCACACAGAACGGTGACCTTCCTGTTCATCACGCTGCTATGGAGGGACGTCTGGAAGTCGTCAAGTATCTACTAGATCTCCAACCCTACACAGTCTCCGTGAAGGGAAGCGTGAGTCAAATATTCTCTGGCACTGTAATTATTATGGGTGCATAACACAAGAGTGTGCAACTTTGGCCAATGACTGACTAGAATCTAGATTCCCTACATCAGCCCGCAACGAAAAAGTCCTTAGTTTCGTGTAACCAGACCGACCTCTGTTTTGAGCAGAGACCGATTCTTCTTTGTTGTATGCACTCATGCATACGTACATCATACGCATGTCGACATACATGTGTAACAGGTAGCCGAGTGGTAGGCGCGGTGTAATCAACAAGAGTTCGTTTTATTCTTCTCTTCTCTCAGGTACACACCTGGGATATAATTATTAGTGAAAGAAGAAGCGGCAAAAAATAACTTTCTCTCCGGTGCACACCTAGAGGTTGACTACTTCTTCTTCGAGTTAGCTTTGTCGTTGCTATCTAATCTCTCTAAATAAAACAGAAATGCGCAGCAGCTTTTATGCAGCAGACGCCGTGCGCTTATATGCGGAGATACACTAAAATTATTATACATAAGGTCAAGTTCCGTATTGGTCGGGCAGGGATACTACACATGTACGTGCTCGCACTTCAAGTTGTGTCAAAGCCAAGGCTCTTTCTTCCTGCTCCTGGTTATGCTCTGGCCGGCTAGACATTTCGGTCCTTTGTGTTTCGAGTAGACTCGATCGTGTCGGATTTGTTGCATGGTGGTTCTATTTGCCAAACGTAACGTTTTTGACACTGACAAATTTAAGTTTCGAGATTTTAATGTCAAAAACGTTTCCGTCACTATGCTGACTGCGGCTGGACCATCGTCAACAGCTGCATTGTTCAAGTTACGTACCAGGAGCAGTTTGTTGGACACTCTTCATCCAGAAGATGTCACTCGCTTCAAAGTGGTGTTTACTTCTGAAACCGGGTCATGCCGCAAGGGTGCTGGCAGGAGTGACAATGTAGGACTTCAATTGCAGTTCGGACGCCGATTCTTTTTCTTTGGGTTGGAGCAACAGGAAGATGTAGTTCCTGGCCCGCCACGGTTGCTGAACGAGATGTTGATGCCCAACGTCTCGAAGATCTGCTGTGCGCGGTATCTGAGTTTAGGACCAGTTTGACTGTTCTTTTTTACTCTCTTTCTCACTCCTGTGTGCAGCCACACCATACATTCTCACACCCCTAACACACCTCACTCACACGCACGCACGCACCCCCCCCCCCCCCACCCCCACCCACCCCCCCCCCCCCCACACACACACACACCATCAACAACAATCAACCCTCTATTCTGCGGGGACAGCAGCAACAGCAAGAAGAAAAAGAATACTCGGGATCCCTTGTCTGCTAGCCCACTCTTGCCAGCGCTGAAATGTCGATGAATACTTGGTCACCGTTCCCAGTGCCCTACTCGCCAGCATGACTTCTAGAATCTTCCTGGATAGGTTCATGAGTTCCTGGGTTGGCTGCGTTTGAACCGCCCTCAGCTCTAGGCATGAACACAAGATCATAATGTGAGGAGCCTGTCAGCGACGTCAGCATTAGCATTGGCTTCAGCATCTACAGCAGCTATCAGCAGCACTTGAAGGAAATTACACGCTCATTACCAAAGGGGACTCTGAGCCACCATGTTGGTCAACAACAGCATCAGCAGCAGCATCTTCCCGCCCTGCGGGCTACGACATCGTCATCGGCATCACCGGCAGCAGCATCCACCCACCTTGCGAGCAATGACATTGTCAGCGGCATCTGCCTCCTGCCTGCAGGCAACGATGTTCCCTGAACACCAACATAGGACAATGCCTCGCGCACCGTGCACTCACATGTGTTCGCGCCACACAGCCATAGCAATTGTGTCAGTACACAAATCAGCAACTGTTAATCCTCATGCACAGTCTTAAAGCCAGCATTTCTGAAAATTAATGCTTGCCCCTCCCCCAGCAAGTTGTGAGGGCAGGTACCTTCGAGAAACGTGCTTTCCTTGTGGGGTAGCATTATGTGCTATGGCTGCAGAACATTTTTAAGATAAGATAAGATAAGAATAAGACAATATGTGCACTCATTTTTTTTCCTTGATCCAAGAGGGTGGTGGCGTTCCTGCGGATGCGGAAAACTGGGCCTTTGGCCGAGTCTCACGTGAACCGTGAAATTTTTTTTATTTTTTTTATTTATTTTATTTTCTCTACAAAATCCACATATCTCCAGACACTGGGGTGAATGATGGAGTGTGGTGGTGGGGCCCATTAAGCTCCGCCGACCAGAGGTCTCGGCTTCATAGCTCCATGGACGCACCAAAGGGATATTGGGTGGGGAGGATTAAATTGAAAAAGAAAACAGAAGAAAGAAAATGGAAAGATTGTATTGCTCAGTGAGCAAAAGCATATCACAACCATAGCGACGAATAATGTATTCCAGGACGTTCGCATTCGTGACCCAAATCTTTGTAAACAGAAAGAAAATGTCACCGCACTTACACTCTTCCATTACATTCACACTCACATGCACTTGAACATGCCTGTACATTGCCACACTGCACTTGCTGAATTTCCTATCATTTCTCACCTATATAGTTTTTATTACCAGTGCAAATTGTTCCGTAGGTTGTGCAATTTTTCTTACTATTCTTGTATCGGCACAGTGGGTTGGTCTAAGACCATGATTGAGAAACGAGGGGTACCAGGTTCAAGTCCTGCTTGGAAGCGGAAGGTTTTTTTCCAACCGTGCTGCGACCCCCAGTTAATTGGGAGCTCGTGGCCTGGCATCAGTAAAACATGGATGTGGCAAATGGGATTTAGGCCTTGGGCCTATGGTTGGTGGATCTGATCTATCCTCCCCCACCGTTTAGGAGCCGCATCTGATGCCTGATCATGGGGTGGTGGCGTCCCACGGACGCGGAAAGGTGGTTCTTGACGAGGGAGTTGCACGACTCCTCGTTGTTGACCTGCCCGGTACGCGAACCCGTCGAATTCCTGTATCCTCATGTTGTTTCACTCCAAGTGTATAAATCCTATTGTAGTTTCATCATTGTCTTTCGTCACGAATTCCATTGATAATTGTGACAAGAAAATGTTCTGGAATACTTTTTTCGTCGCTATGGTTGTGATATGAGTGCGCATATAGTTTTATTCATTGCATTATTAAGTTTATTGTCTCCACGTCGCCTTTTTACATAACTGTAGAGCACGAGAATACAGTACAATTATTGTGTATCGTTCTGGTCATAGATGGCAACATTGCTTTCAGAGATATGGGAAAGGGTTGCTTGATGTTGACCGCACAGGATCCATCCATTCCACGATATGGCAATTGTCATCAATTCCAGTAGAGTACAGGTACTCGTGATATCAGCATGTCGGTTTGGTTGTTTCTGCTATGGCTGTGTTTAGAATGGGAGAACTCCTCTTGGTCATGCAGTGTACGGAAGGAAAGCAGGTTGTGTACCCTACTTGCTGGAAGTCACCTGGACCAAGCTAGCATATGATGAGGTAAGAGTTGAAAAAGTAGGTTGTGTGATGAATAGGTCTACCAGTTTTGTCTGTGAAAACATGCTCGGTTACTGTGAAAACCTTTGCTCTGGAACTACTCCCCCCCCCCCCTCACCTGCACAAGTTCTTATCAGTTTGATATGATTGTTGTTCCTGAAACACGTAGCTTTACATAAGGTTGGATAACATGGACGATCTCTATGGAAGCCGGTTGGAATATGATGACAGAGTACTTTCTGCAGATTAAATGCGTTAGAAAAGACTAGCATGCGTTTTTCTCTAGTCTATTTCCTCACTGTCTACTTCAAGGTGTGTTGAGTGACATCATCGTGTATAGTGCATCTCTGTTTACCCTTCACTTTAGTCAACTTCTTTTGAGCATGATGTTATGTATTGAGCAGTGTCAGAATGTTCTATCATTTCTTACTGTGTACCTGTGCTATATACGGTGTAAGAAGTAAAATGGCGGGTGTGTTTTCTGTGGCATTTTGGATACGTGATGGTTATTGTGACTAGTGGAATTGATGACAGTGAAGAGTGTATCGCTCCACCAATTTTGGTTCAATGTTTCCAATCCAGGCAAAGGAGATTGTGGAGGAAGCCAGAAGGACAGCTCAAACCCGCGGAAAAACGCAAGCATTGGGCTTGATTAAGGTGAAACATGTCGTTAAAGTTATAGGATTACTAACTCTTTGCTTGTGGATGACAGGAATGAATAATTGGTACGAGTTGGGAGTAATGACCTACCGATGTAACCAGATCAAATAGAAATACAGTTAGAAGCTGTGACAATGCACAAGACTGACAAGATTCTGAGACATTCAACACTCTGACACCTAGGTCAAACATATCTCCAAAGCGAAAAGCTAATAACGTTCCAAGGTGGAAAGCTCAGGTTAGGGAAGGCCAAAGAGGAGACGTTCAGCGCAAACAGCATGATAACAAGTAATAGTTATATCTCACATGCTAAAGGTGGGGTTGTGAGGGTGGGTAGGGTAGGTGTGGTGGTGGGGGTGGGGAGGGGGGGGGGGGTGAATTGGAGTAGCATTGATCCTTATTGGAGACAGGAGAGAACAGGAGAAGCCCAAGATTGCGCTACATCAACACGCATAATTCGAGTAGGGAACGAGAGGGAGGATGAGAGAGGAGGAGCGAAAGCAGTGAAAGAATGCAAAGCAGTGAAGAGGTAATGCGAGTGACGGTGAGAGAGAGAGAAAAAGAATGGGAGAGGTCTTTCTAGATTTCTTGATGAATTAACTCAAAGACATTGCAATGATGAAGTGACTGATGGACAGAGAGCTGGCAAGATCACTATCAATGTCCCTGTTGATCGTCATTCGAGTCTCCAGGCAACAATTGACAGCCATGTATTGATAGAACCCGCAACTCACTCAGGGATAACCCTATAATTGTATTGTCACAGCAATGGGATGGATACCTGGTCGGAGCTGATTGATCACAATCACCAGCAGTGGTAGGCACTGAAATTGGCTATTGAAATGTTCTGGCTTAGAGCAGATGACCCAAGAGTAACAACAGAGGTCACGGGGAAGAGTAGATCAGGATCGCAAGGGACAACAGAGTCAATATACAATGACAAGACATATGGGGTGCAATGAGTGTCGAATGTCACCATTAGGTGGAAGACAAAACTGGAGACATATTTCTCTTCTAGTACTGTCGGTGTTGTAGCAAGCAGAGCAGTCAGATTAGTGATCATTTATTTCTGCTGCGGGCACCAACACAGAATGTGGATAGCTAATGTGAGAAACTCTCCTCTAAAATCTCATTGAATTCCTGGACAGACTGTGTTGAGTTGTGTGTGATTTTGGTGATTGACACTATACGAGTGTGCTCCCTGAGCCCACTATGGACTCATACATCAATTGTCCTCATAATTGGTTTGAAGTACTGGTTACATTGAACAACCTGACAGCAACTAGCCTACTGTCACATGCAAGATAGTGTCCAGTGTCTAGTGTCTAGTGTCCAGTGTCTAGTGTCTAGTGGCTAGTGTATGTACAGCTATGTGGATATACTGTAATATCTACAGTTGCGCTCTGTGAAATTCGACCCGTGTCCATATTTGGCAATCTCAACTTGCACGACCCTGGGTGTCCTGGAAGTGGCACGAATGCAGCTGCATGTAAATATCCGCAATACTACTTGTATAACCACAACTGATCGAGGGCGCCGCCGGCTTTGCAATTTTGGTTGAATTTCACCGAGCGACACTGTAGTTCTAGACAGTGTTCAACTTACATACTTTGGGTATTGTTGTTGTGTGCTGCATTTGTATGCTCCAGACCAGCTTGATACGTGAAGAGTTTGGTGTTGAGGGTTACACTGATCCTACTGAACTGATTGCCAACGTGTGTGGAGCAGAAGGTTCAGGAAAATCTACCTTCATTTCATCCTTCACAGCAGAAGGTTTCTTCAATAAACTACTACGTCAGGAGAATCAACTGGACCTGAAGGCAAAAGATTTAGCATCCCGAACAAAGGTGAGCTGAAAGCAATTCAAAAAAGTAGAATGCACAAAGTGCTACCTATTGAAATTTGGATGAATGCATTGTTAGTCCAAATCGTTAGTGGTCAGTTTTGTTTCATTCTATATAAACACAAATCAACATGAACGGGAAAGTGCAGAATGTAGGTATTATGAACCCTACAGGACCAAACTGTCAAAAAAACCCACGCTAAGCCAGTCACAACGAGAAAGAGAGGTGAACAGAGCCATGAAATGTGACTGGTGAAATGTTCATGCTGGTGTCTGCAAGCGTTGTGTGGTCTTATCTGGTCACAAGACAAATCTACCACTACTAGAAACTGACGGACCAAATGAAGATTGCATCAGCAATCTACAAATTACCCCCCAGACAATTGTGAATATATAGCTGATAAAGTCATCGTGGTATGAGATATACATGACTAAAGGTACTGTGATTATCAGTTACCGATTGGTTGTATTTCTATCAATATATGAATCTACTGCTATGTATGTTATATACACATAGTATTACTACCAGAACTACCGTACTGGCGCGATTAGAGCCCTCTCTCGAATAGTGCCGCCAAGTTTGGTGTCCTTTTGCTAATTTAATTGTCCATGTCACCTTCCTGGTGGTTTCAGGATCAAAATCGTAGATCTTGTTGCTGTTTCTGCTGAGTCATGATAGTTTGCAGGAAACATTAGGGTTGGTTTTTTGCCTTCTTTGCACGCGAGTACGGTATACTGTTGCTGTAGAACAGTGTGATTGTGGTGAGCTGGGTATGATTCATACAATGTTCTCTTGCTCATTAATTTTGTTTATATCTGTTCCATAATTATAGGGAATTGAAGAAACCATTTACAACCAATCGCAGGTGAAGGTGCATTTTCGCGACTTTGCTGGTCAAGAACATTATACCGAGTCACATGACATATTCACGGTTGCCATGACAGCACCATCTGTTGCCGCAATAGTGGTGGACGGCACAGAG